GGGTAGAGTGTCATGGATTCACTGCTCACAGCAACCTCCAACTCCTGGGCTCAAGCGAGTCTCCTGCCTCAGCCTCCCAAGTAGCTGGGACCACAACACCCGGCTATTTTTTGGTTGCAGCCATCATTGTTGTTTGGTGGGTCTGGGCTGGATTTGAACCTGCCACCTTAGGTGTATGTGGCTGGCGCCCTAGCCGCTTGAGCCACAGGTGCCGAGCCGAATATGCTAATTTTAACATAATAAGCTTTTACTTTCTAAAAATTTACAATTGCACTTGTTTGTAATAAATGTAATTTTGTTTTTGTAGACTCACATTTCTAATCAAAATTCGGAGCTGAGTAGTGCTGCCCTACAAGCCTTGGGGTTTTGCTTATATAATCCCAAAATTACTTCAGAATTATCAGGTAGATAAATTTATTATGACTGTTAATATTTTTAGGAGATATATATATAGAGTCTTAAGCTTAAAGTATAAATAGTTTGATATTGGTAAAAATACTGTTACCTCTGTATTGGTCTCATAACTAATAGTTTGGAATTTACTTTAGAAAAAGAAATATTGCTGAGATTATCATGATCAACTAGATATAACTGTAACTTTGATACTATAAAATTTGTTTTAAAAAGATATTTTAAAATTGCAGTGAAAATGGAAGCTTTTATTCAAACGTAAGTAGTGAGGAACATGCTAAATTGAAAAGTTCTTTAATGCTGGGTGTGGAGGGAGGATTGCTTGAGATTAGGAGTTAAAGACTAGCCTGAGCAAGAGTGAGACTCTTGACAGTACAAAAAAAGAAGAAAGAAAAAGAAAAAAAGTTCTTGTACATAGTGGTAAATGTGAGATAATTTGTAACTAAAAGTGGTAATGAAAGCATAGTACCTGACGCTTTTGAAGTTTACAGTCATCTCAGCTCTTGCTCGGTAGTTAGTAGTTGGTTCTTGCAAAGGAAACCTAGGAAGTGATCTTTAGAGAGGAGAAATTAGAAGTAGATAATAATGATGTCAGAAGCTTGTTACCATCTTTTTTTCTGAGAGAAGAGTTACTGCTTATTTTATATAAGCATATAAAAAATGTGCAAATATGCTTATATATGCACGTCCACATATATATGGACGTGTTAGCTACCTAAAAAACAGGTATAGTTTATTTTGGAGCAGAGATGCAGAATTTATAGCATCTTACCAGAAATCATCTCCCATGTTTAAACCTACCAATGATACCTATAGTTATTTGAGTTGCACAAATACCTATTTGTTATTTTGAGTCTACTATTTATTTTCTCTGAATACACCTTCCCCTCTAATCTGAATTTTATGCTTTGGGGAAGTTTTGTTATCAGCAGTGGTTCTTTGATCCTTCTCTTTGGATTTTATAATTGGAGAGTATGTTATTTTTCCTATATTTTCATATTTTGGATTTTTAAGGAGTATAAACTATTCTGCACAATTAAAATTAAAACTTGTTTTTCAGAGGCAAATATTAAAGAACTGCTTTCAAAATTGAATGATATTGTTAAAAGTCCAGATAAAAATGTACGTACCAGGGCACTTTGGGTGATTTCTAAGCAGACGTTTCCTACTGATGTTGTTGGCAAAATGGTGAGTATAGGTTTGTATATATCCTCTTACCTACATCCAATAAAAACATTTCGAGCTTATTTAATTTGTATTTATTTGGTCTGTCTTTTAGGTACCCAGTATTATTGATTCATTAGAAACACTATTTAATAAAGGAGAAATACATTCTGCTGTTGTTGATTTTGAAGCACTAAATGTTATTATAAGGTATGCATTTGGATGTTGTACAAATTGGAATTTAGAATTTAGTTCAAGGGATGGACTTTTTGGATTTAAATTTGAGGTGGTAAGAGGGGACTGTCTTTTATACCACAAAATTTAAGAAAAAACAATAGCAGGAAGATAGAAATAGATATGTATAAGTCGCTAGTATGGTTTTAAAAATAAACATGATTATTTTCCTACTGATAACATACTTCTTATTTAAAAAATCTTTGTTAAAGCTTTTGTAAAGGTTTTTAAAAAATCATATGAATCCACAAATGGTCTACATGGGGGGGTCCTTTCGGAAGGCAGTTTTAGTGCCTAGCAAGGAAAAGAAAATTGTCTTCTACTCATCTCTGTTCTTTTTTTCTTTTTCTTTTCCTTATTAACAGAGATAGAGTCTCACTTTGTGGCCCTTGGTAGGGTGCTGTTGCATCACAGCTTCAGCCACCTCCAGCTCTTGGGCTTAGGCAACTCTCTTGCCTCAGCCTCCTGAGTAGCTGGGACAACAGTCTCCCCCCCCAACGCCCAGCTATTTTTTGTTGCAGTTTGCCACCCTCTGTATATGGGGCTGGCGCCCTACTCACTGAGCCACAGGCACCCCCCTCTCATCTCTGTTCTTAAGGAGACATACTGCCACTACAAACTGACATGGTTTTTGTCTTGTTTTTCATTACTTAAAGTATTTTTTAATTGTTGAGCTGTTTGCTTTAACTACATGGTATTCTGATATTCTGATTATTGTTGGCATTGTATAATACTTCTTTTCAGTAAAAATATTGAATTTAATGGTATAATTATACACGGGCCCTTCGTATCTCTAGGTTCCACATCCCTGGACTCAACAACTGCACATAAAAAAATTCTCAAATACTGAATATTAGGCTTTTTTTCTCTGTCATTCCCTAAACAATATAGTAGAACAACTATGTAGCATTTACATTGTACTAGGTATTTGAAATAATCTGGACATGATTTGAAGTATGTGGAAGGGATATGTATAGGTTTTATGCAGATACAGTCATGTATCACTTAGTGATGGGGATATATTCTGAGAAATGTGTCATTAAGTGATTTTGTCATTGTGGAAATGCATAGTGCTCCTACACAAACTTAGGTAGTGTTATTGCTTCTAGGCTGTGAACCTGTGCAGCAAATTGCTGTACTGAATAGGCATTTATGACACAATTGTGTTTATGTATAAACATGCAAACAGAGAATGGGTACGCTAAATACAGTATAAAAGATAAAAAATGGTGTACCTATATAAGACACTTTTTTTTTTTTTTGGACACAGTCTCATTCTGTTACGTGGGGGGAGAGTGTTGTGGCCCTCATCAGAGCTTACAGCAACCTGAAACTCTTGGGCTCAAGAGATCCCCTTGGTTCAGCCTCCCCAGTAGCAAAGATGACAGTTGCCTACTGTAACAGTCTGCTAGTTTTTCTATTTTAGTAAAGGCGGGAGTCTCACTCTTGCCCAGACTGGTCACCTCAGCTTCTTAGAGAGCAAGAATTACAAGTGTGAGCCACTACACTCAGCTGGGCACCTTTGTGAGTAGAGCTCACAGGACTGGAAGTTACTCTTAGTGAATGTGACAGTACTATAGATTTTATTTATTTAAACATTGTACAATTAGATTACACTGACTCACTAAATATATAAAAACTTTATTTTTGTAATTTATTTTTATTTATTTTTTTGAGGCAGAGTCTCCAGCTATCATCCTGGGTAGAGTGCCCTAACATCACAGGTCACAGTAACCTCAAACTCTTGGGCTTAGACAATTCTTTTGCCTCAGCCTCCCAAGTAGCTGGGACTACAGACACCCGCCACAACACCTCGCTATTTTTTTGTTGTAGTTGTCATTGTTGTTTGGCAGGCTTAGGCTGGATTCGAACCCGCCAGCCTTGGTATGTGTGGCTGGCGCCCTATCCGCTGAGCTAAAGGCGCTGCCCTTGTAATTTAATTTTTTTTTTTTATTAGTCTCACTTTATTGCCTTCTGTAGAGTACTGTGGTGTCAAAGCTCACAGCAACCTCCAGCTCCTGGGCTTAGGTAATTCTCTTGCCTCGGCCTCCCGAGTAGCTGGGACTATAGGTGCCTGCCACAGTGCCCAGCTATTTTTTGTTGCAGTTTGGCCAGGGCCAGGTTCGAACCCGCCACCCTCAGTATGTGTGGGGCATGACACTCTACCCACTGAGCCACAGGCACTGTCCTAATTTTTAATTTTTTTTTTCTTTTAACAAGTTTTTTTTTTTTTTTTTTTGAAACAGAGCCTCAAGCTGTTGCCCTGGGTAGAGTGCCATGGCATCACAGCTCATAGCAACCTCCAACTCCTGGGTTCAAGCGAGTCTCCTGCCTCCACCTCCCAAGTAGCTGGGACTACAGGCCCCCGCCACAACACCTGGCTATTGTTTGGTCATAGCCATCATTGTTTGGCGGGCCCAGGCCGGATTCAAACTTGCCAGCTCAGGTGTATGTGACGGGTGCCTTAGCTGCTTGAGCTACAGGTGCCAAGCCATAATTTTTAATTTTTGAGACAGTCTGTCACCCTGGGCATAATGCTATAACCATCATCATAGCTCATAGCAACTTCAAACTGTTGGGCTCAAGACATCCTTTTGCCTCAGCCTCCCAAGTAGCTGGGGCTACAAGCATCTGCCACAATGTCCAGCTAGTTTTGTCTATTTTTAGTAGAGATCAGGTGTTCTTATTTAAGCTAGGTTGGTCTCAAACTCCTGAACTCAAGCAGTTTACCCACCTCAGCCTCTCAAAGTGCTAGGATTCTAAAATTTTCTTTAATAATACATTGATATTAGCTTACTGTAACTTTATTACTTTAGAAACTTACAACTTTTAACTTTTTGATTCTTGTATTACAACATTTAGCTGAAAATACAAACACTTTGTATACCTGCACAAAAATATTTTCTTTAGATTTTTATTTTTGTAAACTTTTCTCTATTTAATTTTTTTTTAACTATTTAAACTTTTTTGTTAACAACTAAAGATGGATATCTGTGTGGGCTTACACAGAGTAAGGACGATCAATATCACCATCTTTCACCTCCACTTAATGTTCTATTGGAAAGCTTCAGGGGCAGTAACAGACTTGGAACTTTCATCTTCTGTGATATCTGTACCCTCTAGAATGCCTCCTGAAGGGCCTGCACAACTAACATTTTTTTTTCCTTTTTAATTAAGAGACAGAATCTCAGTTTATCACCCTTGGTAGAGTGCCTTGGCATTACATCTCACAGCAACCTTCAACTCCAGGGCTTAGGCGATTCTCTTGCCTCAGCCTCCTGAGTACCTGGGACTACAAGCGCCCGCCACAACGCCTGGCTATTTTTGTTTTGCAGTTTGGCCGGAGCCAGGTTCGCACCTGCCATTCTCAGTATATGGGGTCAGTGCCTTACCCACGGAGCCATAGGTGCTGCCCAACGTGCTCTTATTATTTTTTTTTTTTTAATGAAATCAAATACAGATAATGGATACATTCATGCATATGTGGGGTACAGTGTGCTGATTTTTATATACAATCTAACGTGATAGTACTCTTATTTTTAAAATTTGTAAAAATAATACAGAGATGTACAAATTTGCAAGTAAATATTAGATCGGTTTCTCGTGTGTGGATATATTCTAAGACAATGGGCCATGCTATGCATACTTAATATGTCACTTATTTTCCTGGTAGTGAGGTCAAGCTGTTTATTCTTTGATTTCTCTATGATAGGCTAATTGAGCAAGCTCCAGTTCAAATGGGAGAAGAGTCAGTGAGGTGGGCAAAATTGGTCATACCATTAGTGGTTCATTCAGCCCAAAAGGTACATTTGCGGGGAGCAACTGCTCTGGAGATGGGAATGCCATTGTTGCTTCAGAAACAGCAAGAAATAGCATCTATTACGGAGCAGCTTATGACTACTGTAAGTATTACTCTAAGGATTTTCTGGGTACTTCATCAGAGGGTGAAGAAGAGAGCTGTTTATTATTACTGAAGTCTAGGCATTTTACCCCATTGCCAGTGAATGGGGACTGGAAAGAGATTGTAATTCTTTTTTTTTTTTCCTTTTTATCAGCTCCCTCCCTTTGCTTAATTGGGATTATATTTCTGAAAAGGGGAGGGCATTGATTAAGTGCTGTCTAAGTTATTGTATAAGCCCAGTCGGTAGAAATTTAATATGCACATCACCTTAATTTAGTCTGTACAATTTCCTACTTACTACTTGCCTCAAGTTTTAGGTTTTCTGCCCTTTGTTCTTAACAACAGGTATTTATTGAGCACTTTTAAATGCATTGCAATGTTCCAGGCACTGTGAATATGGCAGTGAACATAAGAAGCTTGTGGAGCTTATTTTCTAGTGGGAGAAAAAAATAAAGTATATGATATTAGGTAAAGAGCCCTATGTCAGGCAGGTAGGACTGGATAGAGGGTGCCACCCTCTACTAGATAGAGAGGAATGGTAAAGCAGACAGGGAAGTAGAATATGAGTGTTTATGTTCTAGTATCTACTCTAAAAATCAGATCAGCTATAAGAATAGGACATGTGAATAGTGATTTGAAAGCAGTACAGGCAATAGCTGTATGGATAATGTGGGATAAGCTCATTCAAGGGAAGAGAACCTTGAACAGGCCCTGCTCCTAGGTTTGTGTACACAGGAAACATTGCGGATGTTAGAGCAGTAGTGGGGTGAATGAGGGTGAGAGGAATAGAAGATGATGTCAGAGGAAGAAAGGGCCCAATCACATGGGTCCTTGGGTTGGCCATTGTAAGGATTTATTGGTCTAGGTTATATGGAAAGCTATATTTGAAGGTTTTGAGCCTAGGAGCGATATGACTTGGGTTTTAAAGGAAATACTGGCAAACACTGGCTATATTGGTCTGTTATATTGAGAATAAACTGGGAGGAACATACTTGAGTAGGAGCAGAAGACCAATTAGGAGATAACTGCAATAATCTAGGCAGTGGGGGAGTCTTCCAGATTCTGAAACCTGGGGTTATACTTGTATTTTAAGTTGGAGAGGTAAATTTACTCTTGGTAATGTTGAGAGTATAACTGCAAGTTATGCTCCAAAGTCTTTGTGGATTGTTTTATTCTGATGCGTTTATTCATTTTTAATATCTTGTTTTAAAATCCTTATAACATTAGTCTCACTATGTTGCCCTTGGTAGAGAGCCATTGCATCACTGTTCACGGTAACCTGAAACTCTTGGGCTCAAGCAATTCTCTTGTCTCAGTCTCCCTAATAGCTGGGACTACAGGTGCCTGCCACAATGCCCAGCTGTTTTTTGGTTGCAGTAGTCATGGTTGTTTAGCAGGCTAGAACCTGCTGGCACACTACTCACTGAGCTATGGGCGCTGAGCCAAAAAATCCTCATAAAATTTAGATAAAATATTCTCAGATGTCTGTTGGCCATGAAGCCATTAATGTATTTTTCATTTCTTTTTCTTTGAGAAAGAGTGTAATTCTGTTGCCCCAGGCTTGAGTGCCATGGTGTCAGCTTAGAGCTCATAGCAACCTCTAACTACTGGGTTCAAGTGATCCTTCTGCTTAAGCCTCCTGAGTAACTGGGACTACAGGTGCCCACCATAACACCCAGCTCATTTTTCTATTTTTAGTAGAGCTGAGGTCTCACTCTAGCTTAGGCTGATCAGCTTAGACTGATCTTGAACTCCTGAGATTAAAGTGATCCTCCCGCCTTGGCCTTACAGATAACTAGCATTATAGGTGTGAGCCACTGTGCCTAACCTATTAATGTATTTTTCTGTTAATAGTGTGAGAAGGCTAATATATTATTATTTGAACTCTAGTTAAGGATGTACATTCTGAAATTATTAGGGTAAAGTATATTGGTAGAAAAAAATATGCTGGATTGAGAGATGGATAGAATAGCCAGATACTATAACAGTGGTCCCAACTTTTTTGGCACCAGGGACCAGTTTCATAGAAGATAATCTTTCCTGGGTGGGTGAAGAAGAATGGTTTTGATAAGAATCTGAAAGCAGTTGATTTACCATGGTCTCTGTGTGGTCAAGCCTCTGCTAATTATTTATACTTGCAGTTTCTCCCTAGCACTAGCATCAGCACTTCAGCTCCAACTCACATTATCAAGCATTAGTTGCTCATAAGGAGCATGCAACCTAGATCCCTCGTATATACAATTGACAGGATTCATGCTACTATGAAAATCTAAGGCTATTAACTTACCTGACAGGCAGAGCCCAGGCAGTGATGGGAATGATGGCTGTAAATACAATTGGTACCAGTGTGTTTAGCTGCCGGGAATTGGGGACTGCATTGTTAAAAGGCAGACATAGTAAAGTGTTAATGGTAAGATCTAGAAGTTTATGTTCAGATATTTACTCTAAAACTCTTTCAGATTTGTTATGTGCTTTGGAGTTTGTATTTTGGGTTTTTTTTTCAAAGGTGGTATTTTTATTAATTATTAAAAGGGTTAATTGGCTTAGGGAATCAATTTTTAAAACTTAATTCTAGTCTTTGATACTGGATTTTTTTTTCTATTCCAAGAGTTTATTTGGTAAATAATTTTGCTTTTGTTTGCAGAAATTAATCTCAGAACTCCAAAAGCTATTTATGAGTAAAAATGAGACTTATGTGTTAAAATTATGGCCTTTGTTTGTTAAACTACTTGGAAAGGTAAGTGTATAGTTAATAGTCCACAATTTTTACATGCCATCCCTTTGTTGTCTTAATTTTGTGCAGTACAGTTGATCCTCATTATTTATTCATACCTTCCTTACGTATTTTCCTACTCACTAAAATGTATTTATGAACCTGAAATAACTACTTGCCATGGTATTTTCTGCCATTCATCCATAGCCAGAGGACACCCAATATACATGTTCACAGTTGAAGTCAAGCAAGGTAATGCTGCCCCCCCCCCTTTTTTTTAAAGATAGAGTCTCACTTTGTTACCTTTGGTAGAGTGCTGTGGTGGCATAGCTCACAGCAACCTCAAACGCTTGGGCTTATGTGATTCTCTTTGCCTCAGCCTCCCAAGTACCTAGAACTACAGGTGCCTGCCACAACATCTAGCTGTTTTTAGAGAAGGGGTCTCACTCTTACTTAGGTTGGTCTCAAACTCCTGAATTCAAGCAATCCACCCACCTCAGCCTCCTCATAGTGCTAGGATTATGGGTGTGAGCCCCATGCCTGTCCCTTTGCTCTGCCTTTCTATTTTAGCTCTCATACCTTAATTAGGTATCCTTTTTGTGGTCCATGTAGTACCATGTTTTCTGTGTTTTTTCTTGCTGTCACCCTGGGTAGAGTGCTATGGCATCACAGCTCACAGCAACCTCCAACTCCTGGGCTCAAGCGATTCTCCTGCCTCTGCCTCCCGAGTAGCTGGGACTCTCTAGGTGCCTGCTATTTTTTGGTTGCAGCTGTCATTGTTTGGCGGGCCCGTTGTTTGGTGGGCCTGGGCTGGATTCGAACCCACCAGCTAGGTGTATGTGGTTGGTGCCTTAGCTGCTTGAGCTACAGGTGCCGAGCCTCTGTGCTTTTTTTAATGTTACTGGCTAAAATGGTCCTCAGACAAGTTACCTAATGGCAATAAGCCTAATGGCAATTGTTCAGGCATGAATTATCGTGCTGTTTGTCCTTGATTTTGATGTTAAGGAATCAACAATGTAAATTAAGGTTAAGGTATCATTTAACAGAAACAATATTAAAACAAAGTTATGATATTGAACAGTTGCCAAATGTGACCAGAGACTCAAAGAAAGCTAATTTTATATTTCCCAGAAGAGCCATGGGTCAAAATATACTAATTCAGTGTTTGAGGTGGTTTTAAAACATTAATATGGTGAATAATGAGAACCATTCAGCTTGGTTTTGGGGGGAGGGTGTAGGACAATATACTATTTTATTTAGATCTTTGAACCATTTTGAGTTAGTAGTTGGAAATGATAGAAGCCACACAAGGGTCCACATTGATTCTTTTGCATGTGGATGCTCTTCTTTCCCAACACCATTTGTTTGGTTTTTGTTTTTTGGGGGTTTTTTTTGAGACAGAGTCTCACTTTGTTGCCCTCGGTAGAGTGCTGTGCCATGACAGCTCATAGCAACCTCCAGCTCTTGGGCTAGAGCAATTCTCTTGCCTCAGCCTCCCAAGTTGCTAGGACTACGGCCGCCCACTACAACACCGGGCTATTTTTGTTGCAGTTGCCCCTGCCGTTTTAGCTGTTCAGGGCCAGGTTTGAACCTGTCACCCTTTGTATATGGGGCCGGTGCGCCCTGCCCACTCTGCCACAGGCTCCGCCCCCAGCACCCTTTGTTGAAAAGACTTTTCTCTATTGAATGGTCGGAGTACCTTGTTCAAGAATGAATTTGAGCACATGTGCAAGGATTTATTTCTGTGCACAATATTCTTTTATCCTATATGTCTGTCCTTTATGCCAATACCATATGTTTTAATTAGTATAATCATTACCATATGTTGTGTTTTGTGTTTTTTATTTGCCAGGCTGGGTTAAACCCACCATCTCCGGTATATGGGGCCAGCACCCTACTCACTGAGCCACAGGCACCACCCTACCATATGTTTTAATTAGTGTAGTTATATAATGAATTCTCTAACTTTATTCTGTTTCAAGATGTTTTTGGCTACTTGAGGCTGTTTGTGGTCTGAGGGTTATTCTTACCTGTATCTGTGAAAGGCTGTTGGAATCTCAATAGGGATTGCAGTGAACCTGCAGATTGCTTTGGGTAGTTGACATTTTAATAATGTTAAGTTACTGGCCTAGACCTAGTAGTTTTCTTGTGGATTCTATATTTTCAAAGTTATTTATTTCTTTGAATTTTATCTTTTTAGACTTTTAAGACTGTTAATGTTCATATAATTTTTTCTTTCCTTTTTTTTTTTTTTTAATAGAGACAGAATCTCACTTTATTGCCCTCAGTAGAGTGCCGTGGCATCACACAGCTCACAGTAACCTCCAACTCCCGGGCTTAGGTGATTTTCTTGCCTCAGCCTCCTGAGTAGCTGGAATTACAGGTGCCCGCCGCCACACCCAGCTATTTTTTTGTTGCATTTTGGCCAGGGCCGGGTTTGAACCCACCACCCTTGGTATATGGGTCCGGTGCCCTACCCACTGAGCCACAGGCACTGCCTCATATAATTTTTTCTTAAAGCATTGTTCACATGTCATTTTTCTACTTTATACTTTATTTATCTTTTTGTTTGATATTCCCATTTGGATTATATATAATATTTGGAAGTATTTTTTCTTTTGGTTTTGTTTTTCTTTTATTTCTCCAGTTTTCTTATCTGTTTTGCTATTTTATTATCAAATGTTAAAATTTTCTACATTTCTTTTTCATTCATGAGCATTGGTCTTTAACCACTTTTCATGCCTATCTCAGTGTGTTTGAAAAGGTGGTTTTTATTAGTTACAGAGGTCCACATATTTCCCTAATATTGATGACATTTTTCATACAGATATGTATTTTCTTTGATGTTGCCTTGGGTAACGTTTGGAATTTATCTACTTTCCTAATTTTCTTTAATGTTCTACAAATATTCTGTTACCTATTATCTGCTTCATTGAGCTACGTTTTTGATCTTGAATTTTGAATGTATATAGAGTTTAGTATTTTCCTTTTTTTTGGCTGGGGCTGGGGTTGAACCCGCCACCTCCGGTATAGAGGGTGATGCCCTACTCCTTTGAGCCACAGGCAGTACCTGAGTTTAGTATTTTCTTAAATACCTGTCACTTTGCATTATTTTATTATACTTAACTCATTTTTTTTGTTTGTATTTTTTCAAGACAGAGTCTCATTGTGTTGCCCTCAGCAGAGTGCCATGGCTCAAAGTAACCTCAAACTCTTGGGCTTACGAGATTGTCTTGCTTCAGCATCCCAAGTAGCTAGGACTTCAGGCACCCGCCACAATGCCCGGCTATTTTTTTGTTGCAGTTGTCATTGTTTAGCAGGCCCAGGCCGGTTCGAACCCACCATCCCCAGTGCTTATGGCCAGCACTTTAACCACTGAGCTACGGGTGCTGAGCCTTAACATGTTTTTTTATGTTTTGTGAGTAATTTGTCTTTTGTTTCCCTGTTAGATTATGAGGTCCTAAGTTATGAGCCTATGTTCATTGAGTGAATAGATAAATGAGTGATTATAATGCCCTTATTTTGTTACATGCAGATAAATAACTTCTTAATGGTTTTCTTCTTTCAGACCTTGCATCGAAGTGGGAGTTTCATCAATTCTCTGTTACAACTAGAAGAATTAGGATTTCGTAGTGGAGCACCCATGGTTAAAAAAATAGCTTTTATTGCTTGGAAGAGTTTAATAGATAATTTTGCTTTAAATCCAGGTAAGAAAATAATGTTTTAACAATTTTTATTTTCTTCTATAAATTCATTTTATCCAACCAAACAAGATAAAAACATGGAGCTTTTCTGATTCTTTGGATGTTTTAATTGAAACTTAGCTATTGCTGAAATTTCTTACTTTTGGGGGAACAAGAATAAATTTATAATGAAAATATAATTTAAAGACCAGACACAACTGAAAATCACAAATATAAAATTTGTTTTACATTATTTAAAAAACTGAACAAAATGATAAATACCATTTATGACTATTTCTGTTTGTTATCACTGAGTTCAATACTTTGTACTTAATCTTCACAGTGGATCTGAGGTATAAGTATTAATCACTGTTTTAAAAAGATTAACTTACCAAAGGACACATAGCTAGTAGATAATAGGAGATAATTGTGATTGCCATAGAATGTAAGTATCTGTGATTGGTGACATTTTTTTCCCCAGAATCTCTAGAACAATGCCTAATAGTGGGTTAACAACATATGGAAGCAATTCCTTTTATTATCCTAACCATATCTTCTTGTCCAGTGTTTGATAATATATTTACAAGTCGAGTATTTAGTCCAAAAGTGATTTAATATAAACACTAGCTGGTAGTTGATCTCAGATTTAGTCAGTACTATATGCTTACAGATTTGCTGAGTAATATTGATTTTAATCCTATATTTTTCTGCCAAAGAACATTAGTAATCCCTTTCCCCTTTTGGTGTGTTTTGTCAGATGATTATTTGTATTGACTATAATTTTATTAAAAATATAGGTTAAAGTATAGTTTTAAGAAGAATTTTTAACTGAAAATGTCATGTCACCTGGTTTTTGCACTGGTTTATGATCTGGAAATTATTTGGGTCTGTCCTCCATACCTAGCAGTGTAAAGTAAAGTTAGAAATTAAAATCTGTTGAGGTTACATATTAAAACACAAAATAGAAATGGCTTAAAGAAGGTCAATACAATTCTATATTGTTTGAAATGAGCACAGTTAGAGTATATTACCAGTATGGATCTAGGAAGTCATCAGGGAATCAGATGGCTATCTTTTTCTGTTATCTTCAAAATGCCTTAAATGCAGACAGTACATGTAGGAAGGAGGGAAGGCGGAAAAGCAGAAAGGTCTTCTTAGATAAGTCAGCTACCTGGAAAAGTGCCTCCCAGGAATCCCACACACATTTAAATCTCACTGAGTAGAATAGCTTAATGACAGACTAGAAAAAGAAGTTAAACATTGGGCACCTGTCACTGTCCTGAATTAAAAAATCAGGTTTTATAATAAAAGCAGACTTTAATTGCATAGCACCTAGTAAGTAATCTTCACTACTGGAGGGATGTTAGAGTCCACATCATGAATCAGAAAGTCAGAAGGAAGGAGTGTTCCTTCCTGGCTGGAGGACTTATTCACACAGGGATCTGACTTTATTTTCTTTCTTTTTTTGGGGGGGGGGGGTTGTTGTTGAGATAGAATCTTACTCTGTTTCCCTGGGTAGAGTTCCGTGGCATCATAGCTAACAGCACCCTCACACTCCTGGGTTCAAGCATGATCCTCTTGCCTTAGCCTCCTGAGTAGCTGGGACTACAGGCAGCTACCACTATAGAAAAATGCCTGGCTACTTTTTTCTATTTTTAGTAGAGGTGGAGTCTTGCTCTTTCTCAGGCTGGTCTTGAATTCCTGGGCTCAGGTGATCCACTCACCTCTACTTCTCAAAGTGCTAGGATTACAGACATGAGCCACCATGCCCATTCTGACTTTTCTTTTTTTGAGAGGGAGTCTCACTGTGTCACCTTTGGTATAGTACTGTGATATCACAGCTCACAGCAACCTCAAACTCCTGGGCTTAAGTGATTCTCTTGCCTCAGCTTCTCAAGTAGCTGGGACTACAAGCCCCTGCCACAACGCCCTGCTATTTTTTGTTGCAGTTGTCATTCTTCTTTAGCTGGCCCAGGCCAGGTTTGAGCCCGCCACCCTCCATTTATGTGGCTGGCACTGTAACCACTGTGCTACAGGTGCCAAGCGCTGACTTTATTCTCTTTCGGAAGTGTTCTAAGTAGTGTAATAGCTGTAAGAAACATCGATTAATGATGTTCTATCAAGTACATGACCTGACTGATGTTTCTAAGTTCTTTTTAAGTCTTTCTGACAAGTTACTTGAGCACAGACTATATTATTAATTTATGGATCCCCAGTCCTGCTAATGTAGTATACTTTTGAATGTTTAAAGGTTAGATTTAATTTTTTAAGATAAAGTTTAATAATCTCATTATTAAGGTAGGGCAGACTCAAGTCTAAATCTGTTTAGATTTCCAAAATGGAATTAGTGTCCCCAACAGTAATGAAGTTTGAAAGAATAAATGACTGTTTTTTTTAAATGGTACCTTTTTGCCATAAATATGCCTACATTTTGTGTCAGATGGGGATAATTAGAATGCTAAAGCCACTGGAATAGTATTTCTCAAAGTTTTGACATTTTGCTCTGAATAATTTGTTGTTGAGGACAGTCTTCGGTTTTATAGGAAATTTACTGGTCTCTATCCCCAAGATATCAGTTAGTATGTGCTTAGTTGTAACAACCAAAAATAATTTTAGACATTGACAGATGTCTGTGGCTAGGAAAATTACCTTTGACCCACAGTATCTAGTGAATGTTACCTATTACCTTTTTAAGTATGTTGTTGTCTTAATAAGTATTTTGATCCAGCTGCACTGTAGTTTGTCAAAGTGAAAGTTTTTGGTACAGTAAGAACAGCCTGGTGATATTTTTTTGGTTTTTTAATCTACTCTCTTGCTTTGGTAAATGGAGACTTGCTTAGCTGAATTTTAAAATTAATCTTTAGCTCTTTAAGTCTTTTACTTATGTGCTTATTTTCTTTTAAGATATACTATGTAGTGCCAAAAGACTGAAGTTGCTAATGCAGCCTTTGAGTTCCATCCATGTAAGAACAGAAACTCTAGCATTAACAAAACTAGAAGTTTGGTGGTATTTGCTGATGAGACTTGGACCTCATCTTCCTGCTAATTTTGAACAGGTAACATTTCAAGTATTGATTGTGTAATACTTTGTGTTTTTTTAATAATGTGTTCTTATTCTTGCTAATTTTAATATTTAGTGTTATTTATGCTAAGTATTCGCAGACTACAATATAAAAGACCCTTTTTATTCCTAGCAAAGAAGTTCATTTTATTTTATTTATTTATTTTTTGTAGAGACAGAGTCTCACATCCTCACCCTAGGTAGGGTGCTGTGGCGTCACACAGGCTCACAGCAACCTCCAACTCCTGGGCTTAGGCGATTCTCTTGCCTCATCCTTCCCAGTAGCTGGGACTACAGGCGCCCACCACAACGCCTGGCTATTTTTATGTTGCAGTTTGGCCAGGGCTGGGTTTGAACCCACCACCCTTGGTATATGGGGCCAGCGCCCTGCCCACTGAGCCACAGGCGCCACCCAGAAGTTCATTTCTTGCAGAGGATATTTTTCAGTTGCCTGAAATGGAGTACCTTTACTAAAGCCTTTTTAATCAGCAAACACTCAGCTATTTTTACTTTAGAACCATTACAATTTTAAACAGGGACTTCCCCCAGATTGTTAAAATGTTAATTGAGCGTAAAAGCAACACTAATGAAATAGGAGTCAAGTGTTACACTGTGTAGATAACAAGTTTGATCAATTCTTACATTTTGTTTCTCCTTTTTCTAGGCTACGTGGTGATAACTCTGTAATCATATAATTCCATTGTAGGTTTTTTGTTTTTGTTTTTGTTTTTGCAGTTTTTGATCGGGGCTGGGTTTGAACTCGCCACCCTCTGACATATGGGGCTGGTGCCCTACTCCTGATAGAAAATGATTTTATAAATTCCTTTAGATTTTGGTATCCTTACTGGTATTTAGATAAAAAAGGTTTTTTTGGTTGGTTGGTTGGTTTTTTTTTTTTTTGAGACAGAGCCTCAAGTTGTTGCCCTGAGTAGAGTGCTATGGCATCACAGCTCACAGCAACTTCCAACTCCTGGGCTCAAGCGATTCTCCTGCCTCTGCCTCCCAAGTAGCTGGGGCTACAGGCGCCTGCCACAATGCCCAGCTATTTTTTGGTTGCAGCCATCATTATTTGGGCCCTGGGCAGGATTCAAACACACCGGCTCAGGTGTATGTGGCTGGCACTTGAGCCATAGGCGCCAAACCGTTAGAAAGGATTTTTTGGGGTTTTTTTTATTTGTTTGTTTGTTTGAGACAGAGTCTTACTATGTCACCGTACTGTGGTGTCATAGCTCGCAGCAACCTCCAGCTCCTAGGTTCAAGCAATACTCTTGCCTCAGCCTCCCAAGTAGCTGGGACTACAGGTGCCCACCACAAAGCCCGGCTATTTTTTGGTTGTATTTGTCATTGCTATTTGGCAGGCCCAGGCCAGTTCGAACCCACCAGCTCTGGCATATGTGGCTGGTGCCATAGCGGCTGAGCTACAGGTGCTGAGCCTAGATAAAAGGTTTTAATCTTTTCATATTAGCTTTCTGAATTTTTTATGGTTAAATGAAAAGGGGTGGCTCTGATAACTTTTTCATTTCTTTGTCACTTATCTTGGATTTGGGAGGTACATTTTATGGTAGTTCTTGTCTTTTACAAATAGTAGGGAATTCATTTTGGAAAGAGACACTTCATAATAAATGTACTTGAGCCATTTTTTAAGTTCTTAATATACAGAAAGTGCCAAAAATGTATACACATAATAAGGAAAATAATAAAGTGATAACGCTCAATACTGATAACAAAAGATGAATACAAGTCATGTTTGACTTCTCACTTATAAGAGGTACTCCATCTAGATACTTCTTATCACGACGAAGTTCTGCTCAAGTTACCGTTTGAGTGACATTGATCAAAGTGTCTACTTAAATCACTATGTAGGCCATTTCATTTTCTTCCTGAAGTACAGCCAGTGTAGCCAAGTTATTACGCTTTGCCACATTGTTTAAGGTCCCTATAGGGGTGTTACGTCTGGAGAACATGGGGGAAGCTCAGCCGTACCTCTTCCCTTGTGCACATCATGCACAGTACCATGTCTCAGACTCATCACGAGCATGCAGTTAAATGTGTTGGAGGTTCTGTTGCATACTCACACCTCCCTTGTCGTACAACATTCTTGAATTTCAAATACAACTTCCAAATGGTCTTGTGCTCCTCAAACAACAACCACTCTTTCTGTTTTCTTTGTCCTTCTGTTGCGGGTGATGCTAGCATTCATTTGAATAATGTCATTTTTTGAGCAAACGTGATACTGTTCTTTGCTACTATAATTCAACTTTGATAAGTAATACATAGATTAAATGTGTATACAATTTTTGACATCCCCAATATTGAGGCATTAAATTTGGTATAAGGAGTAATTGAAGATAGACATTATAATGATAATGTAATCAGGATCATGAGTTTTCCAATTTATTGTTTGATAAGATTCTAATAGGCTAATCTTACTCATTTGTCCAACACATTAATTGAAATAGTATATTGAGTAAAATAGATGTGACTGGTACTAGGATGATCTTAGAATAGGGGTTTTTTTTGGAGACAGAGCCTCAAGCTGTCACTCTGGGTAGAGTGCTATGGCATCACAGCTCACAGCAACTGCCACCAACTCCTGGGCTCAAGCGAGTCTCTTGCCTCTGCCTCCCAAGTAGCTGGGAC